AGAATTTCCACTTAGCCAGCTTTCCTGTGGTTCTGGATGATGTCCGTTCCGTCTTTTAGTTGTATTTTTCAAGTCGTTGTGCAAGGCAGCAATCTCCAGTGTTTACCTATGCTGCCATCTTGGTTTCTCTTATTTCATGTTTTTAAATGATAATGTAAATGGTATTGTGTTTTTAACTTCGAATTTTACTTATGCATTGCTGGCTTATAAGAAAGTGATTGACATCTGCATATTAACATTGTACCCTGCAACCTTGCTATATAATAGCTTATTAGTTCCAGGAGAGAGAGTGAGAGAGCATGTGTCTATTTTTTCATGTGTGTTTTTGTTTTTATGTAGACTATCATGTCATTTGCAGACAAAGACAACTTTATTTTTTCCTTCTCAATTAGTATCCCTATTTCCTCTTCTCATTTTTTACATTTGTTAGGACTTCCAGTATGATGCTGAAAAGCATTGATGAAATGGGATATTCTTACCTTGTTCCTGTTCTTAGTGGGAGTTTCCAAGTTTCTCACCATTAAGTATGAGGTAGCTGTGGGTGTTTTTATATATACTCTTTATCAAGTTGAGGAAGTTTGCCTCTAATTCTAGTTTATTGAGAGTTTTTATCATGAATGGGTGTTGTATTTTATCAAATGCTTTTTCTACAGCTATTGATATGATCTTGTGATTTTTATTTTTTTAGCCTATTGATATGATGAATTACATTACTTGATTTTCAAATGTTAAACCTGCCTGGCATAAATCCCACTTGGTCGTGATGTATATAATCAGGGGTCCTCAAACTTTTTAAACAGGGGGCCAGTCCCTCAGACTGTTGGAGGGCCGGACTATAGTTTAAAAAAAAACTATGAACAAATTCTTATGCACACTGCACATATCTTATTTTGAAGTAAAAAAACAAAACGGGAACAAATACAATATTTGTGTTTGCATGTGGTCCACGGGCCGTAGTTTTGAGGACCCCTGTATATAATTGTTTTTAACATTGGTAGATTCAGTTTGCTAATGTTTTGTTGAGGATTTTGGCATCTATATTCATGAGAGATGTTAGTATGTAGTTTTCTTGTAATGTCTTTGTCTAGCTTTGGTATTAGGGTAATTGAATGAATTAGGAAGTATTCTTTCTGCTTCTCTTTTCTCAAAGGAACTGTAGAGAATTGGTATAATTTCCTCCTTAAATATTTGGTAGAATTCATCAGTGAACTCCTGGGCATGGTGCTTTCTGTTTTAGAAGGTTATTAATTAGTTCAATTGTTTTATTTTGTTAATCTTCACCTGAGGATATTTTTCCATTGATTTCTAGAGAGGGTGGAAGGGGCAGTGGGAGAGAGAAACATCAATGTAAGAGACACATCGATTGGTTGCCTCTTGCACAGGTCCAGGGATCAAACCTGCAAACCAGGTATGTGCCCTTGACCAGGAATCAAACCCGTGACCCTTTGGTTTGCAAGCCAATGCTCTAACCACTGAAAGCACCAGTCAGGGCCACCCTCAGTTTTTTTATGTGAGAACCTAGGGGT